CCTCCTTGAAGCCAAATGGCAAGCGGGTACTACCATCGACAGTGAATCACCACGAACCAACAGTGCATGACCACCCATTCTTCTTTTCTCGTACCACCAACTGTGTCCATCCAGTTTCTGCCCTCGCAACCCCACCACAATCTGTATGTATCTCTATCTCTCTATAAACCATTAATCTAAACACACACCATCACTCATTGTCACTAAGGCGGTGTATTTTTTATGGGGTTTTTTGTTGGAAAATTTATATGGATTTTTTGTTGGTTGACCAGATTTGAGAGAAGATCTGGAATTCATCATCATCATCACCGTTTTTTCATTTATGCTAATAACAGTTCTCTTTGCGATTTTGAAGGTTTTTGTAGTCTCAACGTCAGAATGACAACATATGGTGAAATCGGCTTCAGAAAAATAAAATCGGCCCATTTTAACCTAAACTTGAGGTACCATATGTTTCATATCCATTGTTTTGTTACACGGCATCGATTCTGAAATTTATGATTTTTATTCATCGTGATTCTTTTTGTCCAACAAGAATTTCCCCCCTTCAAAAATCGGCTTCTAAAAAGTGATGACAACTCATTCTTCTTCTGGTTCTATCTTATTTTTTATTCAGTGATTTGTACATATTTCAAGAATTATGCAGAAAAGATTTGTGGAGTATCTGCCGATCTGAAGTTTGACAGGTTTGTTTTTTGTTTAAATGGTTGCTGATTCTAGGTTCCAGTCACAAGACCATTTATTTTGGGGATGGAAGTCATCACCCACCCCTTTACCTATTTTTCTGCAGATTTGTGTTTAACCATGTATGTGTATCGATTTCATGGATTCGGGTCTACATCTGTACACCACAATCATCAATTTTATCTCTGTTTATTTTAGTTTTTATTTGGATTTGCAGGTACAATTTTGAGAACATAGGCACGACCATTTTGATGAACAAAAGAAAGATGGTTAAGTAAGTTGTAGAAATAGGAAGAACAACCATTGATTCAGTTAAAGAGATAGAACAATTATTTTGGATATTCTCTATTTTGTATGTGCATGTTTTTTTGTGTGCCAGTTTGATTTATCTCTTGCTATTATGAATTTTGTGTCGATGAAACAGTGGAATATGATTATCACACAAAATAAGAGGAGTAATGTTAGGTTTTTACTGGAACATTCGAAACATAATTGACGAAGACTAAATTGGTGACATCTTCATTCTTTTCCCTTATTTGCTTTTATCAAATACATATATCTTCTCCAGCTTGACCTTGAATTTTTATTTCCATGGATACTTACCATCACAATGTATGAGGTTTAACAATAATCATCTCGATATGTGGTAGTTCTTTTTATCTGTTATCAACCATCAACTCCAGGAAAATATTTCGTTGAATCAAGCTTTTTTAAAATTAGGGCTTGAATGTTTTGAACTTTAAATGTCAATATCAATAGATTGACATGAATAATTGCCGAATTATTCGGTCTTTTAGTTCAATACCATTCATGCAGCAAGCTACTAAAGTGCGCATATTTAGTTCATTTTCTTATTTATATTTGTTCACCTATGTTTTCATTTTAAGCCGTTGATTTATGCATCATTGTTATCATAATTATATAAATTTCTGCATAAATCAACTATTTTTCTTGGATTTTTTTTTTCTGTACCACTCATTATAATAGAAAGGCACCACTCATTATAATAGAAAGGCATGCTACCCTGGTTATTTAAGTGTGTTTTTTATTTTATTTTTTAATAATCATGCATAATTTGGTTATTTTTCATATTTCGATAAATAAAAAGTTATATGAATATAATGAATTTAGTTAAGTAAGTTAAATGAAAATTTAAAATGTTTTTAGATAAGAAAATAATAGGTGTTCACTACAGATTACATTGCAAATGAATTAAACTCATAATAAAGTATATGGTGTTATGATTATGATAAATCTGATAGTTGTTTTGAAATGAGAATATAGAAAAACCGAATAAAATCATTTATATATTTAATTTGAAATGTTATAGAAAATGGATTAGTATTTTGACGTTGACTCATTTGCTCATTGATCTATGTATCTGGTACAAATTTCCATCCATATTCGAATATTTCAATAATCCAAGTTGTTTGTGTAATGTTGTTTAAATTCAAACATTAATTTATATTTAATTTTGGGGGTTCTTTGTTTTGTAAGAGAAAGAGTAACCTTTAAATAAAAGTACATTTTTATAAGACAAAACTGCAAAATTAGTCATTGTGGTTTGCAAAAAACTTTGTATAGGGTCCAAAAAATTTTCAACTTACATGAAAGGTCCAAAATTAAGATTTTTACCTTGGTTTTAATCATTGAAAATTTGAAAGGACTATTTTGCCGTTATTATTTATTTTTCAAATTTTCTTTATTTGTTTTAATTGTTTTATTATTAAAAAAAAGCAAAAGAAAAGAAAAATAGAAGTACGGGTCTACCCCCACTTGATTTCTCTCTCTCTCTCTCTCTCTCTCTCTCTCTCTCTCTCTCTCTCTCCACCCACCATCTTCCCCATTCTTTCTAATTTTTTCTCCCTTGAATCCCAATCTTAAACATGATACCTAAATTTAAAAAACTTATAATTTGGTTTAAGATAAAAGCTAATAGCAAAAATTAACATGGATAAACAAATAAATGCTTGTTTCATTCATTCAGAAATGGCTCAATTAGGTTAAAGCTCATTGTTCGTCTTCTACAAAACCCCCAAAAGATAGCAGTTTTTTCCTCAATCTTGTTGTCTAATGAACACTGCGTGAATAATCTGGTTGTTGAGGAACACCACCATTCAACCTCAAACACATCTCAATCGCGATAACATTGTTCTGAAAATGATAGTTTCATACATTTTTCAGAATCAGGTAATAACGAACAAGAAATCAAGCTAAGAATCCACCCAAATGAAGAAATTTGAAACTTTAAAAGAAATTATTTGATATAATGGTAGCGAATTTCAGTTCTTGTTCCGAATTAAAGATGAAACTAACCTCCAAAATGGGACTATGAGATTGATCGGACAAATTGGAAGGAAGTGATCCAGGTGTATGAACACGCTAATTTGATTTCTCTTTAACCCTCGCCGTCTTTAAATTCTATGATAATGACATCTCATTCATCTTCCACGAACGCTTCATCCTCCACGACGGCGCCGATTTACTGATTTACTGGATCTTGACTCACCTCCCACCTAATTCTTCCCCATCATAATCGTTCTCTTAAATTGGTAACTATGCACTTCCGGATCTTGCTCGCTTAATGTTTATCAGGATTACAATGGTGTGAGTGGGATTTCTTGTGTAAAAGAGAAGGGTATCAACCATTGATGAGGTAGAAAGGATTTAAGGGTTGAGGAAGATGACCTGATGTGTGTGTGTGTGTGTGTGAGAGAGAGAGAGAGAGAGAGAGAGAGAGAGAGATCAGGTGGGGTGGACCCGACTTCTATTCTTCTTTTCTTTTACTTTTTTTTTTTAAATTATAAAACAGTTAAAACAAATAAAGAAAATGTGAAAAATAAATAATAAGGGCAAAATTGTTCTTTCAAATTTTCAAGGACTAAAACCAAAAAATTCTTGATTTTGAACCTTCCATATAAATTGAAAACTTTTTGGATATTATCCAAAGTTTTTTGCAAACCACAAGGACCAGTTTTGTAGTTTGATCTTTTTATAATTAATCTAAAACAACAGCATAAATTTATAGATAACCTGAAACTAACGTAAATTAACTTATAATGCAAAACAACTATTTTTACCCTAAAATCATAACATATCTTTATTTTTATTTCAAAACACTAAGATTCCTTTATTTTTAATTAGAAATAATACTTTTAACTACAAACAATTTACCGAAAGAAAACTAATCATTTTCGAAAAGTATTACATGAACCTAATACATTATTGTGCTTTATTTTTAATATGACATGTTATTAAAACAAACTAATAGTTGAACTGAAACTACTCAATACTCGCCGAACTAATCACGTTTAGATATTAATTTCTAGAAAAAAAAATTCACCCGTCGCTTGGTGCGGGTAAAACGGCTAGTATATATATATATATATATATATATATATATATATATGCCAACCATCTATTGACAATTTTTTGAGTCATCATAAAAATGTATAGTTACTAGCTGACACGTTTCATTTTATCTAAAACCATGACTAAAGTTTTTTAAATATTATTCGATGGTCATACGTATCGAAAAAAAATGTGGCTAAGTCGCTAAGACTAGGCTGCATTTTTACTTGTGAACGTTAGCCACTCATAATCTAAAGTGTGGCAGGGCTATTTTGAAAGAAAAAAAAAATATAGTCGTAGTTCTTTTTGGTACTAGTAAATGTTCAAAACAAAACTCCAATTTGTTGTTGAATAATGAAAATAAGAATTTGGGTTTGAATAAGGGTTTGTAAGACAAGGATCACCTTGCCTAATTCGCATGACAACCCGATAGTTTTTGGTTTGTAATTTGCATGTAGGAATTGCATTTCCCTTGAAACAAAATTATTATTATTTTTTTGGATTTTTAAATTACATATGTAGTGCTGGCTTTATTTATTGAATTCCAAGTTGATTTGTATTTGGATATTTAAATAAGTGTTTTGACTTTTCGTTTTCGAATATTATAACTTCAGATCTATGTATTCGAAACGGAAAGAAGACGAAAGATAAGGATGAAGATAGTGTGAAATTATACTTTTTCCCTTTTTGCAATGGTCAGGTACAACTTATATCATACGTTCTTCTCTATAAGTTAAAAGATAGTACAGGGACTCTTTTGCGAGCTTTAACTTTTAAACCAACGATGAAAAGGTATTGGCTTGCATATATATAGCCTAACTGCCTAAGGACAATACTTTATCATTTATTTCTTTATTGAATACACCGATTTATGCAATAATGGTGCTCAAGTATTTGTCTATAAAGCAAACAAAAGTTTATTTTCAGTTATCCTTAGCTCCCTCTTATTCTCTTTACACTTCCTGATGCGTCGACCTTCGTACATAAGCTTATACATACATTTATGTGTATACAGTATCGTTTTTTACTTTTCAGTCCTATTTCTATCTACTAACCCTCCCACCATTTACCTTGACAATTTTGCCGTTGTTTCGCTGAGAAATACATCCAATTTGTTGACAAACAACGCCGCAATATATCTGGACCTGAGAATCCAGAATGAGAAAAGGTTGGCAGGCATTTACTACTCGGATCCTCTAAATCTCACCATCACATATTTGCAATCAACCATATCAACAGGCAGCAATGTTATTATCGAACGATGTGTCATTCAAGGCTTTTATTTAAAGTATGGAGAGGTTAAACATATCCAAGCATCTGTGGTGATTGAAGACCTCTTTTCAATGACTGAACAACGAAGGAAACTGGATGAGACGCATGTTTTTCGTTATGGTCCAGTGAAAGTGATGGATTTTATAGTAGAGTTGGAGGCGAATATGAATTCCATGGTACATGCGCCCGAAAAGTACCATCTGATGAGCCGAGCTGCTGTGGAGGTTAATGACAACACTGGGACGTCTGTTCTAAAGAACATTCAAATGAAGTATGAAGCTGGATCGAATAACTGGGGATTTGGGAAGTCGATACAAGCAGTTATGTGCTCTATTTTACTACATTTTCTTTTTTATTACGCTTGTTGGTTAGCTTTCAAAGTTATGTTATTTGTTTGTTTATGTCGGCCTAAATAGTCGTCTTATTCGATCCATCAGTTAAATCGATTTTTTGGACTCATCTGTTCAATTTTTTTAGCATCTTAAAGGTTAAGTTTAAACAAATCTAATAAGGTTTGGTTCTTTGGTTTGGATTATGGTTAAACCGAAATGATTTCACTTGAAACATATATTAGAATTTTACTTTATTACTATTTATTTGTTTAATTTGTGTAATATTTAATAATATATAAAACACAAATATAAATTAGCTTTAATGGTTAACTACTAAATAATAAGTCAAATAAATATTTTTGATGACTAATCTATTAATTAAAATTTAATATTAATTGATAATAATAAAATATAATAATATAAATTTAATCGATAATTCAATATATTTAGTTAACCAAACCAATTAAATTATCTAAAAACTAGATAAATAAAACCAACTAGACCAACCATCATTTGGTTCAGTTAACCTAACCAGTTTTATTTTTTCTCAAACTCTTATACGACACGATTAAAAATCATGTTCCGAAACAAAATTAGAATGAAATTGACATGTTAATTTGTGTTTGTGTCCGCAGTTAAAAAAATGTTGTGTCATCCCCGGTGCTATTTAAAATTCGACACGGAGTTCAAACTTTGTTAACTTGGGTTTGTTGTGTTTGTCGTTTGTTTTATGATTTCATATAAATTAAATAAACAAATTGTTATCGCATGTTATCTTTGTTTTGTGGTGTAATGTTTATCTTCTTTTAATTGAGTTGTTTTCATGTTGGTAACACAAAAGACGACGTTGTGACGTGTGATATTTGTGTTACATAAAACCCTGTATGTTGTATTATGTTAACTACTAATTCAAAAATGGAAATAAAAGAGAACAATTTATCGGGTTCACACAATCAAGATGATCAACTACTCCACGACAAACACGATAGAGTTTCTAGTTTTTTGTTTTTTGAAAGTCTTTGTAATGCATTAGGTCAAAAAAATTTTGGGATATATATATATATATATATATATATATATATATATATATATATATATATATTAGGTGTGAGATCTATATATTACATCGGTTTAATTAAAAAATATATATATATATATATAAAATTTTAACAATTTGAAAAGTTTGAATTTATAAGAAAAATAAGAAAAATTTGAATTATTAAAATTAATGAGACTTTAATGTATTGAATACATTACATATATAAACTTTTTCTAATAAATATTTTACATATATATAATACCTTACACATTAAATATGAAATTTTAATTTAATAAAATGAAAAATACAATAAAATAACAAATAGAAAATAAAAAATTTAAAAATTACAGAAAATATCATGTGTCCAAATGAATGAGAAAACGACATGTGGCAAAAAAACCTTTTATATATATATATATATATATATATATATATATATATATATATATATATATATATATATATATATATATATATATATATATATATATAATATAAACACAAGTTGTTTGACATAAAACTATCTATAATGTCAAACCTAGAAAATTATGATTAAAATTCATGTTTTGAAACAAAATTAGAACAAAATCTTCTAAGACTACTCCTTTTCTTCTAAAATATAAGGGAGCCCCATAGAGTACCATGTAAGTGCCACTTGACTCCTTCTAATACTCTATCCTTAGTTTAGACATAAACTGACTCACACCACGCACTACATATTTAACTTGGTGTACACATTTACATACATAAAACTACTAACTGTTGAGACGTAAGGGACTTTATTCATCTTTTGTTTGTCTTCGTACATATTTGCAGACAATTTCTGTCACAACTTAAAAAATTTCATTGGATAATGAACTTGTTGTATGTGAATCTTTAACATAATTACAATGTTAAAGATTGAATTAACCATAAGGGTAATTGGGTCATATATTAAAATATTAATGTACGTTTACATATGGTTATTAGAAGTAAAATACGTAAAAAGTTTGGTATTTTTACATATAATCAAAGAAATAGCAAAGTAGGTTGTTATTGTTATAACTAAGAGTTTATGTGATAAGCATATGAAGTTCGTCGAGTTTTTGACATTGTAGCACATTAATGTTTGATTAATTTGCACATTTAGTCACTAACATTTTTTGTGATCAATTGATCCTTAGTGTTAGTAAATACAAAATAATTACCCCCTTATGCACCCGGTAAACGAAATAACCGTTGGTATTACTTTTGCAGAATAAGTTTAAATTATATATTTAATTTTCTTTATCTATGTAAGATTTAGAAGTAAAAAGAACACATTTATTTACCCACAACTACACTCCTTCTCCGTTCTTCCTTTTTCTTATCTCTCACTGATTACGAAACACTAAAACTAACGTTCGAAGTCGTTTTCTCCAATCGAAGTCAATGAGCAATCAACTAACCCACAATGTCTAACTCGATGCCAAAACCTTATAGACTATGCCCTGCAGTGGAGCTAAACGTCAAAGGTGTTTTTCTTAGAAATCATTTCTCATATAACCATGATATCAATTTCACTTTTAATGATCACGATTTTTCTAGAATGACATATGCTGAATGTATCACCTTTCTCGAATTGTTCATGCAAGAAAGTATAAAGAAGTTATACTACTATGAACCAGGTAAGCCCTTAATATTTGGAATAACTGTTATTGATAACTATAAAGACAATGGTGGTTTTGATTTTTCATGCATATGGGACGAATGGTAAAATTTGTATGTATGTGGAGCATGATGGTCAAGGATTAGATGATTGGTTTGGTTCTGACGTAGAAGAGGAGGATGGATATGATTCATGCGCATATGGTGGTGAGAATGAGGACGAAATAGATAACCTAACAGATTTGGATGTGAAATTTAATGTGAAAATAGTCACTATGAATAGGAAAAAGGGTGATGACTTTCTAAATAAATTATGTGGCAAAGAGGAAGAGGGAAATAATCAAAACATAGATGATGATAATGGGCATGAAGAGGATGCCAATGTAACTCAACAACATTCCATTTTTAATGAGTTAATGCCATTAAAAAGCAGTTCCCAATACTTGGTATGAGGCTCAAAGATCCAGAGTAATTAAAATCAATGATATGCAACTATGTTGTTGAAATTTTGTACGAAATTTGCTTTGAGAAAAATAATAGGAAAAGATTGTTGCTTAAGTGTTGCTAGGGTGAGTGCACATCCAGGTTATAGGCATCTTATATGAGTGATGAATCATGATTCCAGATTAAGTCTTTAAAGCAAGACCACAAATGTGTAAGGAACTGCAAGTTAGGGTCCATGGTCACTTATGCTTGGATATGGAGTCATTATACAGGAGTTCTTATTTAGAAAAAACATCAGTGTAAGAAAGCTTAGAATGGCTATGTCACAGATCTTTGGTATTCATGTAAATTTTGGCCAATGTAGGAGAGCTAAGAAATATACTCTCCAACTAATACATTGTACCCTAGTTGAACATTATGCAAATTTATGGTCATATGCAGAAGAGATTAGGAAATCAAATCCATGTAGCATTGTAAAGCTTGTTGTAAATCATATGCCAAATGGGAAGAACTACTTTAGATGGTCGTTTCTTTAAAGGAAGAATGCAGGAAGATAATCGCTTTAGATTGTTATTTCTGTAAAGGGATCTGCAAAGGGGAGTTATTGTGTGTTGTTAGAATGGTTGCAAACAATGGGATTAATCCTATTGCATAGGAAATAGTATGTTTCAAGAATAAGGAAATTGAGGTGGTTTTTGGATTTACTCATTAATAACTTAGGACTTAACTTAGGCTATGGATATAATGTAATATCAGATCAACACAAGGTAATTTAAATGTTTGAAATTAATTTCCCTATTTATTTGCATCCTTATTCATTATAAATTCCATTTGTTAATAGGGTTTGATTGAGGTTTTAAAGAACTCCTACCATATGTGGAGAACAGGCAGTGTGCGAAGCATATTTTCCAAAACCTTTTGGAAAAGGTATATTGGTGTGCAATATGAAAGCCTATTCTGGAAGGCATGTGAAGCAACAGAGGTAGATTTTAAGGTTCCCATGAAAGAACTTGAAGTGCTTAACAGTATCTGGTGGATAAAGACCCCAAAACATGGTCAAGGTCCTACTTCGAACCAATTAGATGATGTGACGTTGTGGAGAATGGAATGTCATAAAGTTTTAATACTTTGATTGTTGATGCTAGGAAAAAACCATTTATCACTATGCTAGAGGAGTTGAGGATGTATATGATAGATAGGGTGTTCAAGAAGCAATCCAAGGGTCAAGGATGGGGTAACCAAGTTTGTCCAATAATTAGAGAATTAGCGAATAAGATTAAGAAATCTCAAAGACATTACTAAGTCTTACTTAGTGGACTAAATCAGTTTGAAGTAAGAGGAACTACAAATGCTTATGAGGTCGATCTTGAAGAAAGAACTTGCTCGTGTATGCTTTGGCAGCTTAATGGAATAGGTTGTGTCCATTCTGTTGTAGCTATTGGTTATATAAATAAGGTGTGGATTCATATTTGGACAAAATGTTCAGTAGCATCACTTACATGAAGGCATACAAGTTTAGGTTAACACCGATGAATGAAATAACTTATGGTCTGCAACTGATTATACCCAACATTTACATCATCTTCATAGGACTATGCCTGGGATGCCTGCAACAAAAAGGAAAAGGGATGCAAGAAAAAACAAGTCAAGTAAAAAATCAAAGAAGTGTACATAAATACAAAACGAAGCTAAGAAACAGGTAAAGGTATCGAAGCCTGGGAAAAAACAAAACTATAGTCTTTGTATGATTGAAGGGCAAAACAAAAGAGCTTGTACTCTAAGAAGGCCTCTTAAAAGCAAAGTTAAAAGAAACAAAACACGTAAATAAGTATTTAGATGGTTAATTCTTTACAATTTCTTTCTTAATTTCTAATATTGTTCCATATGGGTCAATTAGGGTGGTGCTCAAGCAGTCAATGAGGGTGATGAAGTGAATGAAGGTAATCAAGGTAATGTTGTGAATGAAGGTGATGAAGTGATTAAGGGTGATCAAGTAGTCAACGATGATGGAGGAGCAGTAAATGATAATGGAGAAGCAGTCACTAAGGTGCATTTGCAATAACACTATGATCAGTTGGAATTCACTCCTTTGGAGTTTGATGCACCAGGAAATAGAGAACCTAGTCAGGTTCATGTAAAACAACATGGGGATAAAGAAACACCAGTTATAGCCCTTTTGAAGAAAATCAGGAGGAAGAAATCTAAAAGGATTATCAAGTTGAAGTTCGGAAAGATAGTTGGTAATGCAGATGCACATGGCAACTCAGAAGCTAACCCTTTTATTGTAGAATAAGTTTAAGTGTTTGTTTATGGACTTGAACATGGTATGTAGTGTGAAATTATGTGTTTTGGTGTATTGTTGCTGTTTTTAAGAAACTGCTATCGACTATGGTTGTTTGTATGAAACTATGTTGGTTTATGTGATGTGTATTTTGTATTAACTTAGTTGGTTGTTATCGTGTCCTTTTGTTGTGTTATTTTGAAGTTTCATGCACGCCAAGGACTTGTGTAGTTAAACTGCATGGCAAGGGAATATATTTCAACACAAATCTAATTTTAGATTGTTATTGGTTATGTCCTTATATACCAGTTGTGGTCCATATGCCCTTATTTTTGCATAAAATGAACCCCTACATAGAACTCAAAACACAATGCACTTTTAAATGGTCCAAGTGTGGTCCTTATGGCCGACAATGTGGTACCCACACTTCAACTTTTAAATGGAACACGTGCATATCTTTAAATTTAGCAAGGTATATAACAAGTAGGATCTTTCATACCATTCATTGAATCTACAAAAATTCATTAAAATTGTTCCCATATGCAACCATCCCAGTACATCTACCATCCCATACTCATACTAATCAAACAAGCATTCAACCAAAAACATAACTACACATTACAACTAGGATCTAACCATGACCATGTACCCATACACCTATACACTTCCTGAAAAAGCAAACAACCTTCTACATCCACCCATACACTTTCCAGAAAACTGGTTGGAATTATACACCATCAACCATAAATACTTATTTGATCAATTGCACTTTTCAAGGGTACTTCAACCACATGGCAATGACTACAATGGTCATAACAAAGATGACATACATAGCACTAGTCGGGTAAGTCTTTAGCAGACTATTTTAATTCATCAAATCCATTAACTATATCTCAAACACTTGCCGAGCTACTTCCATAGCTTGCTGCAGCTTAACCAACTTCTTTTGAACCTTTGAAACTTGACTGAAGTCTTTTTTTTTTCCTTTTTAGCTCAAACAGTAACGCCCGTAGATCCGGGCTAGTCAATTTAGATACGATAAGCATCAAAAATGACTTTTTTTATGGAATATTATTTAGAAGGATTAATCTTAACATAGTATATGTTACAAGGATTCTATACATATAAGGAACTCTAAAATCCGAGCTATAACGAAGAAGTTATAACCTGTCTAAGTTTCGCGACAGAACCGGCATGACACAAAGCGCCATAAATAGTGAATTTACGATAGAGAGATATTTGGATTTAACTATCTAAACAAAAGTTGTAGAATACGTTAAACCGATAGCGTGCACGAAAAGAACGCCCAAATCTAACTTCGTATGAGGAAGTTATGATTTTTCAAAGTTTCGGCTTAGCAGTGTACAGCCCGAAGTTCGAATATAAGATCGAGCGACATTTAGCCGAAGGAATCTAAAATAGAATTGAAGATCTTGTCGATTGTAGTCCAACGGTGAAAATACAGACACAAACGGATGAGAGATGAAGAAGTTACGAGTTTATAACGGAGTTTTCCTGTCACAGCCTACTAAAAATAATATATAAATAATATAATAAACAAATCAAAATTAGCTAATGAAGTTTAGATGAAAGTTATAGACCTTGTTTTTACTTATGCATCGATATAAAGAACGTCAAAAACGGAGTTCGTATTCGAAAGTTATGAGTTTCTAAAGTTCTGGGCGCGAAACCCCAAAACTATCAGAGTTCACGATGTGAATACAGTGTTCACGATGTGAACTTAGTATTTATGACTTCTGGAGCCTGACAGACGCAAGTTGTGATGACACACCTGATGACTATTGAACTCACGATGTGAATATTTGAGATTCACGACGTTAATCTAGAAAAATGGCCCTATAAATAGAATTCAAGGGGCAGCCAAGTTTAGTTGCTCAATCTCTTCTCTCCCACTCTCGATAACCTTTCTAAGCCCTATTTTAACCCCCGCGAAGCCCTGCTATCGTCTGGAGACCCGAAGCAAGTCCCGAAGCCCGAAGATCCCTAGAAGAAAAGAGTTTCCGACCTGAAGCTCTGCCTGAGAGAAGCCCGGTGTGTGAAGATCTTCCAGATCTACCGAAGAATACTACTTTTACAAGTCGTAGTTTTTTCGGAGCACCATCTAATCAAGTGAGTGTATAGTCACTTTCATCTTACATGTAGATATGAAGTATTTTATAAAATATGTGTTATGTGTATATATATTGTTGTTTATATGTGTGAGTGTGTTGTTACTTTCTTCTACCGCATAGATATGAAGTATTTGATATGAAATATGTGATATGTGTTTATACGTTGTTTGTTTACTTGAGATGGTTGTTGAATGATTGTTTTATACATATTTTTAAATGATTTAAACTATATATGTAATTTATATCTACAAATATGTTGGGTAGAACATGGGTAAATGAAATAGTTTGTGTGTGAGTAAAGATTAGTTTGAGGATGAGACGAAAGATGATATAGATCATGAGATTAGGGTGACAGGTGAAAAATGAGTGAAACCTTTACCCAAACGATGGCCCCCATCATTCAACTAAGTAGGAATGATAACCACGAACTATTCTACACAGTCTTGTGGAACAATAGCAGGCTTGCAACTTGTAGGTGTTGTGTAGTTGATGGTCACCGGTGTTCTCTAAAAACCCATTAATATGTGTTGCTAGAGGATGTATCAGAACCAATATTGTCAATAAACGACATAAACCTTGGTGACTATGGAGTTAGAGCCTGTTACATAAACATTGGTGACTATGGAGTTAAAGCCTGTTACATAAACCTTGGTGACTATGGAGTTAGCGCATGTTACATAAACCTTGGTGACTATGGAGTTAGCGACTGTTACATAAACCTTGGTGACTATGGAGTTAGCGCTTGTTACATAAACATTGGTGAGTATGGAGTTAGCGCCTGATAGCTATGGATTTAGTACCTGATAGATAAACTTTGACAACAATGGACTTTGTGCCAATTCCTTAGGTAAATATTTAGGAATGAATGAAAGAAGGATAGTTAATTCTTAGGGTAAAACCTTAAGACATAAAGAAGATAATCGGGATGGGTAAATGGGTTGATTGTTTGACGATTGAATATAATAAATATATTATTGCAGGTTGAAAACCCTATATGCTCACCAGGCTCCCAAGCCTGACCCAATCAGTTATCTTTGCATTACAGGTAATGGCACATGAGTATAAGTTGGTGGACTTGATGAGAGATTTTGGATTATAGATCAGTAGTTATAAATAACTATTGTAAGGTCTATTTTATATTGTTTATGATTTTGGTTTGTATCGGAATATGCCATCCAGATATTTTGTTATTTAATGAAAAAACATTTCTTTAAGAAATGCTTTGATAAATTTTATTTTATCATATTTTATTTTGGGGAAAAATCCTGCAACTCTTTTAATCAAAGGATTACTCTGATTTTATAAAACAAAGCATAAACAAATCGGTATTTTCTGGCTGTGAAATTGGGGATGTCGCAGTTGGTATAAGAGCATTAGTTTAAGCGAACTAGGAATTTGTAGGATTTCTAGACTTAATCTTAGAATGCTAAGCGACGATTGTGAGATGAGTGTCTACCATATTTTAAGACATGACCACTAGTATATTTTAGGAAAGTTGCCTAAATGCTTTTATGTGCTAAATGTTATATGTTTTCCATATATGATATTATTTGTTCAGATCTATGGTCTGTTGCCGACCGGGTCTGGAAACCTTATGTGTTTAGGATTCTAAGCGTACGACTACGGTATTAGAACTACCATGTAAATGTTTCGGAGTGATAAGGAGATTTATACGTCTATCGTAAATAAAGCTTTCTTATCTTAAATTCTCTCTCGGTACACCGAACTCTGCTTGGATGTACAAAACGTCATGGTGAAGATGCGTAGAGAGTTGAGTAAATAGAGAAATGGAAAAGGCTTATGATAGTGAATGACACCTATCTAAAGATATCGTAAGTGCTATCTTGCCTTTCGAATATGTCTGGTTAAATAACGGAACGTTTAGAGGAGTACAATACGTCTGAAGTACGCTTTCGATTGGCAGGTTTCTGGAACGACTGGTGTAATTCTTGAAGTTGCCCCATCGTCTGGAATTTCCATTTCCAACTGAGTTGAAGTAGAATTTATGAGTCAAGATGCGCATGGAAGAAGTCCTAGTAGAGTCTAGGAAAAATTTTATGATTAATTGGACACATTCGTATATGTTAAATTGTTTTGTGATTTTAGGACTTAGGGACTACGAAACAAAACTTGGGATGAGTATGAGTAGGTGTGCATAGTAGTAGAAATCTATATTACTGGAAGCACAGGACTCACCCTTGTATCAGGGAAAGTCACAAGGTTACCAAGAAGCTTGTAATTGAGTTCGTTTTTATTCAAGTATGTCGTTACCATTGTTTCGGTAATGACTAAAAAGATGACTGATATTCTGACCCTATTGGTCATATCAAATTGAGTCCGACTACGATGAGTTTGTTACGTGGTTCAGAAAATCGAGTTCGATGTTGCATTTAACTTAAGTCAGAAGATTGATATCAATGCGATTGATGGCATCGCGCTCGTTGTTAAGGAAGCTTATATATAGAAATGTTACATGTCAAATTGTGATTAGATCACATTAGAATATGAAGGAAGGTATATTCCATTCATGAATTTGACTCTAAGAGACTTGATTCTAAGCGTTGCATCATACAATGAGAGGTCATTAGAACACGACCCATCGGTCTGTTACAATAGATAAAGGAAGGTAATTATTCTAAGAAGAAGAAGGAGTTCTCAGTAAGTATTTATTTTGTAACTCTAAGGTTACGTTTGAAAGTCCATCATAGTACGAAGAGCAGATGCATCATTGAGCACTACTTGCTATCGAGAAGTGCAAGAGTTAGATACTCTTTCGATGAAACAAAGAACTTACAGTTATTACCTATGATGTAGAGATAATGTATGGAATCATTATACAAGTCCTATTTCGTTGATGATTCCGGGACGTAACCATCCTAA